ATATTGGGGACAATTGAGATTATTTTGTAATTTTTGTAATTTTTTAGAAATTTTGGGTCATGAGGGGCATTTTGGTAATTTTGGGGGTATTTGGGAATTTTGGTGAATGTTGATCAATTTAGATATTGGGGAGCACTTTGAAATGTTTTTTGAAAAAAATTGGGTAATTTGGGCAATTTTGAGAATTTTGGCAAAATTTTGGATTGTAGGGGTATTTTGGTAATTTTGATGAAAATTTAGGCTCGAGTGGGTAGTTAAGTTATGAAGCCATTTTCAAGTCATGATAACCATCTGAGGACTCACTTTGGATGTTCAATATGCTGGTTCTAACCCTCTTAGCCAAGAGCTAGGGGTTTGGGTCCACCCATATGAGCTTTCCAAAGGAGTTAGGAGACCAAATCAAGTGCATATAGTCTTAGGGTTTGGGGTGTGTAAAAAAATCAAGACTGTGCAAGCTAGACTAACCAAGACTAGACCAGGGTTATTCCTAAGGCTTGACCATCCTATGGGAACTCTCCTTGAGCTCCTTCATATTGAGCCCACCTACTAAGTGCTAAGAATTAGGACCAATATATGGAACTTCAAGTTGAGCAAATAAGAGTTTAGAATTTATAATGGTGAGGGTTCCTTTTCTAGTCCTCTAGGAATAGTCAACAGGAAAGTCCTATGTCTAGACCCTAGGCTACTAAGGAAGAAACTAGACCTCAACCAAAAGTGAGGTCAACACGCCCAAAGGCTGGCACCTAGGTGGCAGTCTGCTGGTCTCCAATATGCTCCATTTCGCTCCAATTCAACTTCACTTCGCTCCATGTGTCCTGTCTATTATACCTGCAAGAAAAACACAAAATTAATTTTCTTTAAAGTGCAATTTTTTCATAACCAGGTGCAAAATATAAAGAAAATTGAGCATGCTTTTGTAAATATCAATGGTTCAGATAGTTTTTGAACATTTTTTTATGACACTATCCTTGAAAGGATATTCCTAATTTTTCTTCTACTCAAAAGTAAGCCTAAATATTCTTCTTCCCTCAAGTTGTCACTGTAGTTATTGTTGTGAAGACTGCCACTACTGTTGCTTAAAGTTTTTGGGCTATATTGTCATGGGTTGTTTTACCCGACCAGTAAAAGTCACATTCCCATATCTTTTCTCGTAAGCTTTCTGGGGTTTTTGCTTAGAATTCTGAGTCAAAAGTGATAGCTGCTTCATTTGTTCCTATAGATTTTTAACAATTTTATGGAGATAATGAAGAGTGAAAATTAAGTTAAAATTAATTTTACCAAAAGCTAGAAGGTCATTAGCTTAGATCAAAAGAGATGTGAAGAGGTTATTTCATTATTGCTATGGAGTTTGTTTTGTTCTAGAGTACTAATCTGCTACACCTGACAAACTATTTATAACAAAGGCAAAATTGAAAGGAGATAATGGACAACCTTATTTTAGGTTTGAAGATGAGTTAAATTGTCCTCTTAACTCACGATTAACCACAATATAGAAACTAACATATGAAGTAAAAACAATAGTCCATTCAATGAAAGTATATGTGAATTTCATCTTTTAGAGTTTATCATATAAGAACATCTTACAGACATTATGAAAGGACTTTTTGATATCAATATTAAAGTTGAAATATTTGGAAGATCTATAAGAAATGAAACCTTGAAATATATCATTTTCAAGAATGATGTTGATGTATCTCCCATTAATAAAAACATATTGTGTTGGATGAATAAGATTTGGATGCAGTGGTTCAATCTACGTACCATGAGTTTGTTAATAATTACATAAAAAGTTTATATAAGTAAACATGCCTGAAATCTTTTATAGATTCATTGTGAGTTCTCTTAAAGATGGATGTTATGGCTAAAGGCTTTAATTTGATTTGTATTTTATAGGACATAAAGAAGTACTAAAAAAAATAGTTAGAGAGCAGTAAGTGACACCCTAAGTATCTTTAAGGGATTTTGATGTAAGATCTCTAAATCTAAAGGTATTATCATTATCAATACCAAATATGACACCTTTAATTTCGTTATTTGTAAAAGGAAGAATAACAAAATACTATATTTATCGGATAATAAATTCATTTTAGGGATTTCCATTGAATAATGTAAAACAGTTTTATCAAAATTAAGTAGTTATACAAATAATTGTCTACCTAATTAACAATGAAATCATGGGAGCTAATAAAAAAGGAAGCATAAAAAATCCTTAGTATTTTTTTTTGTTTTTCATATTTATAAACATTTGATATGAAACTTTTAAGTCATCTTTACTTGTAGTTAGCTATATGCATTTCAAAAATTATTTGACATATTTGTTCTCACATATAAATGCTTCAATAATTTTTTTTGGTTACTCAAAGGCTTTGATAGGGAAGCTATTAAAAGGATGCTTTTCCATCTCATGAAAGATATGGGTTTGTTCCTATTTAAATATAGAGATGGTGTTTGATATTGGGAGAATGGGTATTAAGTAGCCCTTTTAAGCTTCCAATTAACATTATTAAGTTTGTTGTAGAGAGAAAAGATATGATCTATAGCTAAAATTGTCTTCTAAGCTTCTTAATAATACTAAAAAAACCCAAGACATATGCTCCAATTTTTTTTTTATAGAAATCTTATTTTGAAAGTGAAATTTTACTCAATAGAGAGATAAACAACATAATGATTCGATGATAGGGGAGGTAGAACTTAATAAAAATTCATAAAAATTCTCAATTCAATGATTACTGTAAAAAGCCTAGTTAATTAAACAACATATTTCCCTATCCAACTAATTGTTGACTAAAATGAAGGAGAGTCTAGTGTTCAGTAATTCTAGAAGGCCTAAATAAAATATGCATTGATTGATGTATATCAACTTACATGGGGGAGAGTTTCCACCTTTTTTCATAGTACCTGATTTAACACATATAAAATTCCCCAAAATAAGGAAAGGTTTAGAAGTATTGCCTAAAATATCAATAAGAGATTGTTAAGATATTTCCTTTTAGAGGCTCCATTTGCTCCATACAAAAATGACACCAAGAATTTAATTGAAGAAGAAAAAACAAAAAGGCAATAGATAATTGCAGATGAAAAAGGATAATGATGAAAAGGACTCTAGAGGATTCTCATTTAACCCAAATTCTTTAATTACGAGTTAATATAAATTTACGACAATTGTCTTCCATGGAAAAAATCCTCATACTTCTAAATAGATAGTTATTATGCACATAGGATATGGATACTTTAGTCTTAATATGACATATAATATTGATTTATGATCTTTAACAAGTCTTTCTGAACTAAATATTCTTGTATCAAAATTAAGGTTTCTCACATTTCAATCCGAAATGCTTGGAAATGCACAAAAGTTTAGTTGTTAATATGAATTCCTCATTTTTTCCTTCCTTTTGGGCTATTAGAAGATCAAATTATTAAATTCTTTGTAAAGTGATCCACAAAGTCAAGTAACTTAGTGTAAAAAATTGATGTTTGTAGCAGGAATCTTTTATTAAGTCCACATAAAATTTACATCTACATTATTATAAGTGTTTTCAAAACCACTTGCTAATGAATTATTAAGCAACTAATTCTCTTAACACATTATTATTATAAGTGTTTTCAAAACCTCTTGCTAATGAATTATTAAGCAACTAATTCTCTTAATTTGACCTTGAATTATGAATGATAGACTTTCTAGAGCAAACAATAAAAGCAACTTCTTCATGTGACTTTGTAGTAAGGAGGAGCCACCTAAACTATTAGTTGGAAAGGATGCTAGCATATTGAGGTTAGGAGTTGGATTTGTAGACTTAGTGAAGGCTAAAGAAAAGGTCACAACTCTAAGAAAGCTTGAGGTCTTGAAGTTTTTTACAACTATTTTCAGTATGACTTCTACCCCTGCAAATGGAAAGGTGTTTTAAAGTTAGCATTCTACACACAATTTAAGTGTTCATAGAAAAAGTGTCACAGTACATACATGGAAAGGGCTTCCATTAGTATATAACAAATTAAACAATGTATTTCTCATTAAAAAGGAACAAGATAAATTTAGCAACTTAATCCTAATAAAACTTGGGCTTTCTTAAAACCTTAACATGAACATATTATGAATTCTAACGTTTAAAATCAAAGCTCTACCATTCATAAATCAAGGAGCACCATTTTTCAACACTGTAAATTTCTACACAATTAAACATAAATAAGAACAAATCATTTTTCAACATTGCTTAATTTGTAAATATTAATATTTCAGGTGATCTGTGTGTTATTATACATAAATTTAAATAAAAGCAAAACCTTAGTAAGAGATTTTAGATGAAATGTACATTTAATAGTAACTTACCCATATTTACCATTGAAGGGCCGCTTGCCAATTGCACAACCAACGAGTGCAAGGTTTCACTATTTGGAACCTTCGAAGAGATCGACAAGATGAAACCCTAGCGGATAGCGGAACCGCATCACATTTATGCACAAAAGAATAAATAAAATTTAAAAAAGTCTTAATTAATATCTTTAGATTACAAAATATCATCTCGCTTGTTAGATAAGATTGTATAAACTTCTAGTCATTATTACTCATGTGATACATGGTCAAATATAATGCGTATTATGAGAACTGAAACATGGTGCATGGCCCATGTGCATGTGTGCCAAATGTAAGAATTGTAGGAGTAATAAACCAAACAGCATGGAGAGCTAATATTAAAATAATGTGATGACATAAAAAAGCCATATTTAATAAACGAATTTAATTTTTAATATTTTCTTATGATTAAAGGGAAAAAAAAGACAATATCGAGATTCGCGCCAACTCCTGATTGTGGACCGCAGAAGAGATCAATTGGTCGGCTAAACAACTTCCACGTGGCAGGCTCCACTGGAAGAACGGACCTTATGCAGAGATGGCACCTTTGTAATTATCATGAACTAGAAGGCTTAAATACTTCACAAAATCCGTTTATTTTGTTAATTACTAATCACCATTTTTAAATTGAAATAAATAAAAGCCACTCACGGCGATGCGTAGGATTCTTTTTCTTGCTTCTTCCTTGTCGGAATGCTCTTAAAACGTTGAAGGAATACGTAGATAGGCATCGAGAGAGATCAGAAGAGAGCGATTGCAGCTCTGCAATCTTGTTCGAAGGTGATGACATATGAGCTTGAAGTTTAGGTCGCATAGGTTATGTTTTCCTATTCTCTGTTTATTTCTTTGAATGTTCTCTGCACATTTCCTTTCGATAGAGCGATGGATTGTTCTTTTTCAGCTTCATTGTTTTGGTTATTTGTGACGTGCTTTTGTTTTGATGCATTTTGATGGAAGCTCGGATGGTTGATAATTTGCCAATCTTTTGAGGCAAAAATCTGCGATTAGAGTTTTGCTAGGTTTAGATGGTTATGAGACGTTTTGGGAGTTAGTAGTGGTATTTCTTTTTCTATTTGAGAATATTGGCGTATTTCGGAAGTTCCGTTAGAATTCAAGTTCTTAAGTTCTGGTGAATAATTTATTAGTTGGGTGGTCAGAAAATAAAGAAATGGGTTCCCCCTGACTTGTTTATTGTAGTTCAAAACGTTAATTGTTTGTTTTGTGGCCAATAGTTAAATTAGTTTATGAGTTGATTTTTTTAAAGAGAGATCGTTGTTTTGCAGTATATGGGAAATAGGTGAGAAAAAAACAAATAATAATAATAATAATTATTGGGCTATAAGCATGCCTCATAAAAATTGCATTCTCTCGTGTTTTTGAGATTTAGAAATTTTGAAAAAAAGTTAAAGCACCTTATTATTGGTTGAGAAGTTTTCTGACATTCCAAACTTTTAATTCTTGAAATTAGAGGAGAGTAAAATTTCAAATACAACAACAACAACAACAACAAAGCCTTAATCCCACTACGTGGGGTCGGCTACATGAATCCTTTTTCTCTACCGCGTCCCATTTAGTGTCATATTTTCATTTAGTTCTAATAAAATTTCAAATAAGAGCAAAAAATAGTGGTCACTCAAGGTGTGCCAGAATTAATAATTTTTTTTCAAATCATTTTGAAGATAATGATGTTTGAATATGACAATGTCATTGTCAGTCTTCCCAATTCTTTGTTTTTCTTTTGTTGACAATATCGATAGCATGGCATAAGATATTAAGTCTCTAATGATTGAAAAAAAAAATTCAATAGAATGGCATAAATTCCACACATTTTTGTTCAAGACTATAAATTTGTAATTTTTTAATGTAAATTTTGAACTATATGGTTGTAATTTATTTCTTATATGGGTCATGCTGGCACCAATGTGCTTAAGCTTCTATACCCACCCACCCATGTATCCACATAACCATTTACACAAAAAAGAAACACTCTTTGTCTTCCCCAAATTTCCATGGAACCCTCTCACCAACAACAAAGTCCTACTAATGATTTATTAAACTAGATTACCCCTAGCATGAAGATTTTTTCTTAGTTTCCCTCACATGATCCAATGAAGTCTCCATCCTTAAATGAAGCCCTAGCTTCTGAAAGGGTCTCTATAACCAAAAAAAATAAAAATTGATATTTAGTAGTTTGTTATAAAAAAATATCACATTGTTTGACTTTATATGGAGGAGAAGGAACCTAATAAAGAAACATGATGTTTACTTGTTGCTTTCTCACGTTGATGCGTAAGGCATAATTTTGAGTTAGGATCCAAATGGATTCAGGGGACCACATCATTGATTCATAAGAAACTTTGTATGCTTAGATGCAAATGAATTTCAAGCATCCAATAAAAAGTGATATTGAGTCAAAATGATCATTTTCTTCATTAAATTCATTTTATCTCAAAATTAGTTTTCCATACACCTTCTTTCTAAGTTGAGTACGGAAGGCAAAAGAAAAACAAGTTGAGCACTATAAGCTTGCAAAGTTCTAAAATACTCGATACAATGCTATCTAATCAAGTTCAAATAGCGCTTGAATTGAATAACCAGTAAAGACCGCTTTCTAACAAACTCTTCAATCTTAAATGATATAATTGGATTGTACAATGAACAAACAAATAAATTTATTTTTTATCTTTAAAGTGGTTATCTTCTTGTCTTTAATGTTGCAAGTTAACTTTGATAAAACCTATGTATCATAAATCTAATCCATCTGATAATCTGAAGCCATATTATTATCTTGTGTCAAAACTTATTCTAAAATTTTTCATGTAGTATGGATGCTAACACTTTTTCGCTTTGTTTAAAGGTGTTGTTGAAATAATTGAAGTAACTGTTGACGTTTCATTCTATAACAGATAGCTCTAACCTTTCTTGTTCTCATGGCCATTAAAGAACCCCTTCAAACCATGATGATCTTGCATCATTAGAAAACTTGTACCGTGCATCACTTAGATAGAGTTTATTCACAAATTAGGTATTTGTCTCTTCTCAACCAAAGCTTTAGATACATCATTATATATTTCAATGCAAATAGTGTCAAGATGTATATTGCCAAACGATAGTTTTGTCTATACGCACATGTATACCTATAAAATAATTTATAACTGCAAAGCAATGATTTATTGCAGCACATATGAAAAGAAATTGCTAATTCAATAATTTACGTTATCATTGAGCCTATTTTAGTAACAAAAAGAAAGTTTTAAGAATCTATATTAGTCACATTTGTATATGTTGTTTTGTTCTCCTAAGGCTAGTTACATGCTGGGATGTGAAGAAGCATCAAGTTTCTTGATTGAACTAGAGGTAACTGGATAAAAAGACATACAAATTATGGTATGAATTCTTAGGAATCAATGAACAATTGAAAATATATTCTATAGATTTTTTAGGAATTGTAGGGAGGACTGAGCATGGTTTAATTCACTTCTACGAGATTTTAGTTTTCTATGTGTTTAAGTGCTGGAAAAATTTTTAGTCATGATGTTGACGTGGGTGATGGAATAATAATGTGCAAGAATGTTAAAATATAATAAGTTTTGTTATAAAAATTGGTTTCAATGTAAAAGCTTAGAGAACTAGGAAAAATATAAGGTGACCTATTGGGCTTCTAAGAAAACTATTTATGATGCTAAGAATTTTATTTTGAATGATATTTATACTTGATTAGATACTAAAGAGGGTAAAAGATATATGTGTACAAACTAACGAAACAATAAGAAAAAAAAAATGAAGATTTAATTCAAGTAAAATGTATTAAAGATGAAAATAAAAAAGTAATTTTTTTTACATGAAGATATTTAACATTGATGGATGAGATATTTTGATAAAATTTTTAATAGAATTTTTTAAAATACTATCAATTTTAATGATTTTTATATCAATAATAATAATAATAATTTTTTTATTTTTACTGTTACATTAGTATAAAAGAAGTTGAAGATTTTTCAACGAAAATCAAGGTTGAAAAATCAGTAGGACCCAATAGTATCCCAATCGAATTTTTGAAATATTAAAGAGATTTGAGTCTTTTTTTGCTTACTAAACTTCTTAATATTATTTTAAAAACTAAAATGATGCCTGAGTGAAGAAATAGTATTTTGGTCCCCATTTTTAAGGATAAAGGGGATGCATGAGAGTGTACAGATAATAAAAGAATTAAGTTAATGTAAAAAAAAAGGTTAACGTGTCATAAATTACAATTATGGGAGAGATTAATTGAACATAGGTTAAGACCTGATATAAATATTTCTCATAATTAGTTTGTATTTATGTGGGGCAAGTCTATTATGGAAGCTATACATTTATTGAAATGTTTGATTGAGAAGTAGAGAGAGAGTAAGCGAATCTACATAAGATTTTTATTGATCTAGAAAAAGCTAATGATAAGGTTCCAAAAAAATTTCTTTAGAGAGTTCTAGAAAAGAAATTTGTGGATATGACTTATATTCAAGTTGTTATTGATATGTATACTAGAGTTGTTACTTTTGTTCAAACAGAAGGAGGATTTACCGAGTATTTTCCTATTTCAGTTGGATTTCATCGGGGATCGACTTTAAGCCCATAACCTTTTGCTTTAGTTATGGATGCTCTTACTAGAAGTTATAGGAGAATGTACCTTGGTGTATGCTTTTCGCTGTTGATATCCTTCTTTCAGATAAGACTCGTTAAAGAGTTTAGGAAAAACTTGAATTATGGAAGTCTACTTTAGAGTATATAAGCCTTATTCTGAGTAGATCTTAAATTGAATAAATTGAGTGTAATTTTAGTAGTAGTAGGTCTAGTGTCAAAGTCATAATAATGGATGATCAAATAATTAAAATGAGTGAATGTTCTAGATATGTTGGGTCTATCACTCAAAGTGATGTTGATATAGATGGGGATGTTTTTAGTAGAATTCAAGTTGGATAGTTGAAGTGGAGGAATGCATTAGGCCTATTGTGTGATAGAAAAGTGCCACTTAGACTTTAAGGAAAATTTTATAAGATGGTGGTGAGACCTGCAATGCTTTATGGCATAGAATGTTGGTTTATTGTTGGTTTATAATAGAAAACCCTAAAACTAAGTTGTGTTGCTAAGATGAGTGCTTAGGTGTACGAGTGGCTTTACACTTAGAGACAAAATGTGAAACGAATATATTCGTGAAAGGGTTGGTGTAGCTCTAGTAGTAGACAAGATTAGATATAGTTGTTTTAGATGGTTTTCTCATATTAAATAACAATCATTGGATGATCTAGTTAGGAGAATAGATGTTTTGGATTTGACTTGTGTTAAGAAAGGTAGAGGTAGACCAGAGGTGTACTTAAAAATACATTGCCATATTGTATAAAAAATGATCTTAATTTTTTAGAATTAAATAAAAATATGACACTCAGTATGACACACTGAAGAAAAAGGCTCATGTAGTCGATCCCACTAGTAGGATAAAAACTTGTTGATGTTGACATTTCCATCACAGATTTTAGAAGATTTCTATCTAAATGATTGGATGTGTCATTTAAAGAATAATATACTATCTCGAGAGGTAAAAATATTACCTTAAAATGGATTTAAAAATCTTGTAAGATTTATGAATCTGCTTTAACCAAAACATTTTCCCCAATTTTATGTGTAAGATAGGATTCATTTTTTAGGGGTTTGAGATACCTAAAAGGGTCGGTTTTTATAGTTATTTACATCTCAGGAGTTGGGGCTATTGAGAATACTCTCGATTAAAAAATTAGCTCATACTATATAGGATTTTAAGGTTTGTGTTTTTGAGAAGA